TCACATTATTTATATTGTATGTCATGGTGCATTCATGATCATAGATATCTGTATGTTGTTATTGTTTAGGATTATGTTGGGATCTCTACAAGACTTTATGTTCATCCCACGTTGTTAATATTTTTCAGGTGCAAGTTGAGAGATGATTCAAGATCAGTGATCTTCCTTAATTGTTGGCCACGGGGCCTATACTTGTTGGTGAAACGCCATTGTTGTAAAAGGGTTAAACCTTTACTTTTATTGTAAAGATGTAAGCCTATAGGCATTTTGTTTACATGTAATTTCTATTGCATTCTATATATGTACGATTAAGAAGACTTTCATTTGTTTATGGAGGTAATGTATGTATAGTTCTACTTGTTCTTAATGGAAATGGATTTTTGTTAATCTCTTTATGGAAGAGTTACTCCACCGTAGCATGTATTCATACTATATGTGCTTGGCGACCGAGTAATGAGGTGAGAGAATGGATCCCTGCTTCCTCACCGTGTGAGTCTTACGTGTCATTATTGATATGACTTTCATTTATGTACCCTTTTGTGACTTTTGACTATGTCATAAGGTAAGGGGTTGATGTTCTGCTACTTTGGTATGTTGCCTGTGGTCATTTATGATTTGGCCTTAAGGGACATCACTGGGAAAGCGGTCAATCCTAAACTAAATGGCATGAGTGCAAAGGGAAGATCATCTAGTATTACACCACTGTTGTATATTCACTGCCGGCAACTCATATCGCTTTGTATGAGAGGCGAATTGAGTGTGAATATATTGCAAGAATTGAGAGGGTCAAACATGCTCTTTTTTGAGGGATTAGAGATGTTTTTTGGACCGGTGTAATTAGATGGGTCTGGGGTATATGAGACACTATTTCTTTTCTTTTTGGGTTGATGTCTTTATGCTGGCTCATTTTGAGTTTCTAGTATAGAGCTCCCACATGCAGGTGTTCTCAGCAGTCGCACGGTGCAGTGGCTAGTATGAGATTGTTTATTTTTGGGGAGATTGAGATTGAGACGTGGCAGTGGCATGCCAACTCATGTCCGAGTGGGAGATGTTAGAAATTGGGCGCCCATGTGGCATGACCCTTAGAACCTTTTGAACCTCATCCAAATGGGTTTTGAATTTGAATTCAAACCTATTTGGATAGCCACTCAGGATATATATCTATCATATCATGATATGGATAGATGATATAGATATCAGATATTATCTCATTTAACAAATGGATAAATGAGATAAATAGATTATATATCTGATATATGGGATATGGGTGATTAAGTGGAAAAACAACGTATGTTTGTTTTTTTTTCAAGATACTGACTCTCTCCCAAAATAACGATCAAAGCCATTTGCACTGTGGTTTGTGTGGGTGATATTCAATATTGTAATATCACTTCACTGCTGGGTTGATTGACTAGATTCAGGAAGCACGTGATTTATCCACGAGGTTTTAGATCAAAAAAGGTATGATCTAAACATTTTATTCCGCTGCATGTTTTATACTTTGATTTACAGTAAATGTTTCAATTTCATTGTCGACGTCCTTTGTTGTGCAAATCACATGCACGGTGAAGTCTCATAATTTTGTGATACTTTTTATTGTCACCAAACTCAACCATGTAAGGCCCAACTCCCATATCACGTTGTTGTGAGTGAATTGTAGGAGCTAAAGTGTGGGTGTCTAGCATCTCTCATTCAAAAACTATGAAGACCATATGTGATAGTTTTTCTTTTTTTCTTCTTTTACAACCTATATGACAGTTAACTGATCGTTTCATTCTTTCATGATCTATTGTGGCAAGTGTCGCAGACAGATAAAAAAAAAAAGCCGCCTTTTATGTTTGAGAGATGCAAGGTCTAAATTCAAGAGTCAAGATGCACGTTGCCCATGTTTCAAGGTTTCCCTGTTTCACGCAACTTTTGTATTTGACTTTCATAGAAACTAGCTATATATTTTAACCACCACATGACATTCAAAGACTAACTATTTGTGTAATGAATATAACACTGCTCGGTGATAAACCCTTCTTTCTTAGGTTCTTTGTTGTGTATGCCTTAATCAAATAAGAACAGCTAACCTATTGGATAACATCAAAGCCCCTTAGAAACTTAGCTACAACATACAACGAGTTAGGCCAATTATTTACCCAAAGAATGGGCAGATGAAGGAAGATTAGAGTATTCTACCAAGTGATCAATTTCTTCTTGTGGTCTATCTTGAATCAGTGAAGTTATTTACTTTATGGATTGTACTCAACTTGTAAACTAGCAAGTTTTACAAGCTTCCATTGATAGGATATAAAACTGACTTCACCACTTGGCTTTGATATTTGGATGCCTAATCACCAAAATTAATCTCTATTGCTTGTTAGCAACATATGGGTATTAGTTACTTTCATAAGATGTAGATATCAAGACATACTCCTTGTTTTATTTTATTTTATTTTTTTATGACGGAGAACCCCAATCGGCCCACATTACAATAAATCAAGCTTTTAAAGACAAAATTTTAGGAACAAAAATAATTTGTCTATAAAAATTATATTTTTAAGGACAAAATAAAGGAATTTTAAAAAAAATATAGTTAATCATTTTATTAAACTTTTAAAACAAAGCTATTTGGTTGCAAAAGAGTTAATGACTTTTTGCATACCACTTTAGTTGGTTGCCAATAAACCTAACTCATACATTTTTTTATTATATTTTCACTCTTTGCACAATCATAATTGGGATTTCATTTCCTCTCTCTCTCTCTCTCCCCTAATTTCATTGTTGATTTCATCCCTGCTCTAAGAGACTCTGATCGGTGGTTTGTGGATTTCGTCCCTTACAGTTTCAATCCCTAATTTGATCTCTCGACAGCTATTTCAGCGATTTCAATCACAGGTTTGATCGATTAATCGATTATTCATTTGAGCGAAAATTTATACGAAATCGATGATGTTTTTATGTCTTTGATTCAATCGTTTTTAGTTCATTTCCTGTAAATTTACAGTTGAGAAATTTAGATGAACAATCGTCGTTTTTTGATGGTTTTTCCGCTTCTCACAGTTCAGATTCCTTTTTGTTTGTTTCGGCATGACATTGATTTGAGAGATTGTGTTTCTTCAGTTTGTTTGCTCGGAACTCGTATTGTTTGGTTTCAATTTATACTTGAATTTGGTTTTCTGAACATTAGGATCTATTATTGTAACGTTGATATGTGGATTTTTTTTTCTAATTATCTTAAAGAACGAATTGTTTTAGTTCTAAGTGGCATGGTTCTATTTTTAGATCAACTTTTACTCAAATTTATCTGGCAATCAACTTTGACATAGTTCAGATATTAGGAAAATGTGAAGATTGGGTTCCATCTTTTGATCTTGAGCTGATCACTTACACAATTTTATTTATATAAAAAATGAAATATTGTTAGGTTTCTATAGTTTGTTTCTCTTAACTTCTGTACTACTCTACATGTCAAACAAAACATGAACTGTTCCACTCCATTATAATTTGAATGGATTATGTAAAGTTGTTTTGGGAATTGATTGTTTTAATTAGCTTTTTAGCGATTTACGAAAAGGCCTACAGAAAAGTGAAGAGAATAGTTGATTTTTTTGTAGTGACTTTTTGGCTATTTAGTATGTTGTAAAATTAAAGTATGAAACCTACTACATAGCAGGGGAACTCAAAGAAAATAACAAACAAAAATTTAACATTAATAGGACAAAAAATTGATGTCATTAAAACTCAAACATACAATAAAATAGAAAGAAGAAACAGTTTTGAACTCACTAATATGAATTTTAAGCAGGTATGCTATTAAGCATTAAATAAGAAACACGATGAGACTGACAACCATCTTAACACAAGCAGCCACACAAAGAGCTTGCTTGGGAGTTGGCTTTTTTAGTGGTTTTTTAATAATTTTTTTTAGTGGTATTGTTCTATTATTCATCAATATGAGCACCATAATACTAGCCTACATGATGACTTTTTACTACTTATTTTTAGAAATTAGAAATGCTATTGGCTTTTTTCTGTTTTGAGGCAAATCATTGTTTGGTGAAGGCAATGCATCTTCTTTTATGGATTATTTTTTGGTTATGGTTAGAGCTAAAGATTATCGGATAGCCTGCTGCTTAATTAATTTCTATTTTGCTCATTAAAATGATTTGGTGCTTGAATTGAAGAGTATCCCACCTATTTAAGGCATTTGGTTCCTTGATTCCAAGGCAATGCATGCATGCTGTTTTGGTTTGGAGTCAGCTAAGTCATGCAGTCTTTAGTTTAATTTGTATTGGTTGTATTAATGGATTTAATTTGTATTGGTTATATTTAAGCTAGAGTTAGATTTAATTTGTATTGGCTTGCATTAAATAATATTTTACTTCATTTGGGTTATGTTTAAATGTTAATGACTTGTTTATTTTAATTATTTATTATTGATTGACATCCAGTTGTAGCATCATATTTCCTATTTTTAGTATATCATATTTTTTAAGCTTTTACCTTCTTCTTTTTTTTTTTTTTTTTTCCTTTAGTTCTTTTGCACCATGGATAGGAGTTGGATGCAACTTCATAGTAGAAGGTCACCTCAGTACATTGATGGGGTGAGGGAATTTATCTTGTTTGCTCATGATCATATGAAACCAGGGGCAGATAAGATTTGGTGTCCATGTTATATATGCAACAACCATATTCAAAAAGCCATAGAGGAAGTTGAAATTCATTTGTACGCATATGGGGTGGTCACGAGTTACACTAGGTGGGTGTATCATGGGGAAGCTTTTGAGTTGAATGACAATAATGACTCACAAAATGAAAATGACGATTATCTTGACAATGTGACAGAGAAGTCAAATAGCCCCAATACTGAGGTGCGAGAAGTTATTCATGACATACGAAGTGGAACAACCACATTTGGCTATGCGGGAGAAGCATCTAGTAGTTGTAATCCTGACTTACCTAGTAGTTGTGGTGGAGTAACAAATAAATTTGCAAGATTAATGAGGGATGCGGAGCAAGATTTGTATCCGGATTGCCAACGATTCTCCAAACTATCATTCATGGTTAAGTTGCTACATCTAAAGATATTTAATAGATGGAGCAACAAATCGCTCACAATGTTGCTGGAATTGTTGAAGGAGGAACTTCCCATTGGTGAAACAGTTCCATGCTCTTACAATGAGGCTAAATAATAAATTTGAGATTTGGGCGCCTCGACTATCAAAAAATACATGTATGTAAGAACGATTGCATACTTTTTTGGAAGGAGTATGAAAATGAAGATGAGTGTCCTTGCAAAGCGCCAAGATACAAAGTTCGTAAAGGTAAAGGTAAAAAGATCCCTCACAAGGTTCTGCGATACTTTCCTTTAAAACCAAGGCTACAAAGGCTATTCATATCAAGGAAGACGGCTATTGATATGAAGTGGCACAAGGATAAACGTGTAGAGAAGGAAAATGTATTGCGTCATCCGGCTGACTCTGAAGCGTGGAAAGACTTTGACAAAAAGCATGAGTCATTCGCCAAAGATCCTCGTAACGTTAGGCTCGAACTAGCTAGCAATGGTTTTAACCAATTTGGAAACATGAGTAACTCATATAGCATATGGCCGGTTTTTCTTGTCCCATACAATTTACCACCATGGAAATGTATGAAGGATCCATTTTTTATGATGCCTTTGCTTATTCCTGGGCGTATGGCTCCCGGGTTTGACATTGATGTGTTTTTACGGCCATTGATAGATGAGTTAAAGGAGTTATGGGAGGTAGGGGTAAAAACATACAATGCATCAAATGGCCAAAATTTTCAATTACGTGCCACATTGTTATGGACCATCAATGATTTCCCTGCATATGGTAACCTATCCGGTTGGAGCACCAAAGGAAAATTGGCTTGTCCTTCATGTAATGAGGATGCATCTCACCAATACTTGCATCATTGGAAGAAAATTTGTTACACGGGACATCGTCATTTTTTGCCGCATAATCATGTTTTACGACAAAGCAAGGCATTTAATGGTGAGCCAGAGCGTAGATCGGAACCCAAGTTGTTGTCTGGGGAGGAGGTTTTAGGACAATTGGAGCATCTTGACTCGACAGTATTTGGGAAGACAGATGAACGTGGGAAGAAGCAAAAACGTTCTCCTCAATATTTAAATTAGACAAGGACAAGCATTGTCTTTGAGTTACCTTATTGGAAAACCCTCAAGGTTCGCCACAACCTCGATGTTATGCATATTAAAAGGAATGTATGCGATAGTGCGATGGGAACATTGATGAACGTTGATGGAAAAACCAAGGACTCATACAAGGCTCATCTTGATCTAGTGGCTATGGGTATAAGGCCAAGGCAAGTAAATGGATAGACTTTCCTACCCACTCCTTGCTTCATGCTCTCTCCAACTAAAAAAAAAAAAGGAGTTTTTGTGAATTCTTGAGTACAGTTTAGTTGCTAGATGGCTATGCATAAACATATCACATTGTGTGAGCACTAGTGATTGTCGAATTACAGGGTTAAAAAGCCATGATTGCCATGTTATCTTGCAAAGATTGCTTCATGTTGCCCTACGTAAATGTTTGAAAAAGGATGTGAGCAAGGCTTTAATTGAGCTTTGCTTGTTCTTTAAGGAATTATCGGCAAAAACATTGAGAGTTGATGTCTTAGAACAACTTGAGAAAGATATTGTTTTAATTTTGTGCAAGCTTGAGAAGATATTTCCACCATCGTTTTTCGATATTATGATCCATTTATGCGTACACTTATTGTAGACGGCCCGAACTTCCTCCGCGCGCCTCCCATTTCGGAGAGGGCGCGAATTAGGTCCTGCTACTACAGTTCGGACTCCTGTCACGGTTCTGAATCTAATCTCACAAAGTGCAATGTGAGATTGATAAACACCAAAGAAGTCTAATCTAGCAAATCGTTTTGGAAAATAGATTTTGAATCAAATAATGCCAAAACTAGACTACTTTTCCAGATTACAGAGTCGCCACCTAAATATTTTATTTTGGGAAATTTAGGAAACCCTGACTTGTGCCAAAGACCACGTGTCCGTCATCACCAAAGTTGCCTCTGCTCGGGAACTTGGGTACGAGGGGGGAAGGTCATGAAATGGGCACCCCCACTCGCCCGATCAAATGATCAGCCTCTACTAAGCATGATATGTTTGTGTTTATAAACACATGTGTTCTTATCCGGTTTTTAGCTAACTTTACTATGTGATGCGCGCAGCATACAAGTATAGACTATATCACAAGAATTGGAACAAAACAACTCGGGTTCGTTTTTTAAAATGGTTTGAAAGTGCCACTCGCAAGTGGGCTAAAGCGCGGATTTGCCACCCTCAAGTGGGCTTAAAACATGATGATTTGCCACTCCGCAAAGTGGGCTTAAAACTCACATTTGATGAATTGTCCCAATTCAAGTAATAAAGCCTTCATCCATAGGCATTCATGCAGTTAATCAAGTAAGCAAATAGCCTCGTGGCAAGCATGCTAACATGGCAACACTCACACTCATGTAATATGCTAAAGCGTAAACACTTACAGTGTACTCCGAGCCAAAACAGAAAACTAGTTAGAAATCAATGCATGATCCTAGCTGTGTTAACAATGCCTAATACAACACATGCAAAAATGCAACTGAGTAGGCTCGGCTATCTAATCATGACATATGATTTGATTTGATAACATGCTTTGAACACGTATTCAAATAGGTATTGAAATACGATGTAGTTTGAATGATGCACCGAGCTCGGTGCATGCAAAACAAATGAATGATGTACGCATGCAAGCATAAGGTATGCTAATTGAAAATGATCCCTAATCTAACCATCGAAAGCGGATAAATAAAAGGGAGAAATAAATGGGGTTGGAAGACATTCACACACACACGCACACTTATTACAACATTTGCCCTCTCGACGGAGGGTCCGAATGAAAGAGGGCTAACTAGCTACGCTAATTAAGCTAACTATTACAAACCAACTAATTAACTAACTATTCTAGCTAATTAATTACAACACAATTGAATAACTAGCTAATCTAAGCTAATTAGTTACAAACCGAATTAATTGATTAAACACTTAACTAATTAATTACAAAAATAACTAAGCTAACTGGCTAATTAGCTAAGCAATTTAAATGAACGGCCTCGGGAAGTGTGACAACCCTCACCACTGATTAGTGCTACTCTATGATTAAGCATGTTAACTGACTGACTGATTGAAATTCTGAACTGATTGATTGAGTGTATTAGTTTAAATGCATGTCTATCTGTTTGACTGCTAAATTATCTGTTCATGTTTTATGTTTTAAACTGCAAATTGAAGGCCTTATCGGCGGCCGAATCTGACATTGATTAGTGTTTTATGCTAATTAGAATTTATGTGATTTTATGGCATGTTTAATTGAAATTTGTTTTGGTAGGATTAATTTGGATTAAATAGTGTTGAATTACAATAGTTGGACTTATTTACCTTAGTGCCATTAAGTGGACTTTGCTAGACCAAATGTTTAGTCTTGCTTTACATGTGTTGGCCTCACTTTTCATCATCCTTCTTGAGAGACCAAACGTGAGAGAGAGCTAGAGAGTTGGAGAAGAGCTTGAGTTCTTCATATTTGCTTGGAGTCTTGAGGATTTTGAAGTGAGATTGCATATTTGAGCTTCTACATTTGAAATTGGAGACCTAAGGTAGGACATTTACCTTCTCGTTTGTGAATTCAAGTTAGTTCTTGCATGGTTCATGGTAGATAGGAGCCTAAGGTCATAAATTGGTCTTAAATTGTTGAATTGAAGCTTGAATCATGCATGCATGTGCATATCTTGAAGTTTAGAGTTGTTTTCATAGAAATTATTGCATGCATGTCCATATTATTGTTATAATCCATGAATTCACCATGTTTTTGGAAGGATTGGCTCATTTGATCTTGATTTTGAAGCTTTAAATTCATATAAGCTCATGCATGTTACATTTGAGTCTTGTTCTTGAAGTTTATTTTAAATTGGTGTTTAATTGAACTACCTTTGGGCTTTGATTTCTCAAATTGATCTTCAAAACATGTTATACTATGAGTTTACAAGTGTTTTCCAGAAAATTATCCCAAAAGGATCGATTTTGGTACATTTAAAGTTGATTTTGAGCTTGAAGGTTTAATCTGGAATTTCCAGAATTTGGACTCACGCTCGAGCGGGGAACTCCACGCTCGAGCGCACAACCTGTGTTCATGCAGTCCGCTCCCGCTCGAGCGGGAAATACGTGTATCCAGTACTTTGCCCATGTTTACAGTCCGCTCGAGCGAGGACTTGTGTCTCACGCTCGAGTGGGGATCGAGCGCCCGTCGAGCGTGAATTGCATGCATCCATTACTTTTGCATGATTTTACAGTCCACTCGAGCGAGGGAAACCACGCTCGAGTGGATCCTTTTTGTCTGCATGTCCGCTCGTGTGGGAAAACCCACGCTCGAGCGGGACCCCTATTTTCTGAAAATTCTGAAAAGTGTTTAAAAGTGCATCTTTGCATCCTCATTCCATCCTAGGCATTCCTAGGCGTAGTTTAATGCATCTTAATGAGGACATTGATGTAGAACCACACCGAGGCAAATTAGGGATTAAGTTATTATTTTCCCAACTGTGTAGCTTAGTGTGCGTTCGTTCTGTAACTGTGTAGGGTTGGCATCCGAGGACGTTCTAGCTTATCTGTAGCCCAGAACTCTGTAAGTAACAATGTTGTAAAGATATGTTCAATCACGAATACTTTCTGAATGAGCAACTGTACTGCTTTCTGAAATGATATTTCTTACTGAATAAATGTTTGTCCTATTTGTGAACTGTATTTATGGCATCCATAGCAACTTCTATTACTGTACTGTACTGCTACTGTCACAGAGATCTCTGTCGGTTCCCATGTTTGGAACCACTGCTATTTACTGATATGATGGCCATCAACTGACTGTTCGGTCTGTTAAGACCTACTGTACTGTTTGTTATTAGATGTACCACATATGACTATTAAAGTTTCTGAATGATTGTTATGGCATGAAATATGAGCCACGAATGACTGATATACTGATAAATGACTATTTTCAATACTGAAAGGACATTCATTCTTAACCTCTTTACGCATATGTTATTCACCGGGCTTTAGCATACTGTTTATATATATATATATATGTAGGTGTCCAGGCACTGGATTGGAGCTAGGAGCGTTGGGTTAAGCTCCCTTTTTGTCAAGCCAACCAACGTGCCTCACTGCGAGGTTCCAAGTGCTGCCAAGCTAAGGCTGCTTGGGGGTGTTTTAGTTTCCCCCTTTTCTGTTCCTGTTTTGTATAGACTGCATAGACTTGTACTGTACTGTCATGGTAGGGATTTGGTCCCTAACCTGAATGTCTTTAAATGATGTATGTATATAGTATTTTTGTCTGAATGTGAATATGTTACGAAAAGTCTTTTTGGATACAGACTGTCACAGCTCATTGGACAGCTTTTAATTACTGTTTTGGCTTCTGCCAGCCCCTGTACTCTGTATTACAGTTTTACTGTTAAGCAGGCCATTGGTAATCTCGGATTACTGGCCGATTACGGTGCTAAACCCATAGGGGCGGGTTTGGGTCGTGACAGGAAGCGAGGGATGCATGCATGCTCGGTTGCTCCGCTTTCTGCCGAAAGTCCATTACTTTGCCACCGGTTGCCTCTGTTTGCATTTTCCTTGATTCCTGAACACCTGTAGACACCCCATTTTTTACCGTCCTCAAGACCTGGGCATCATCATTTGAACACTCGATGATCATCCATGTTCGTGTTCGTTTTGAGTTCCCGGAGGTTTCGGCTGCGCACCTTGCCTCAAGATCTCTCAACTTGTCTGTTTTGTGCTTGGTTGTGAACCAAACACTTGTGTTTTTGCTTCTGAGGGAAGAGGGTGGCTTGTTGGCCATCCCCTCAACCCATCGGCTAAGGCATGAAACCATCGGCCTTATTTTCTTGCCATCGGCCAAAAGTGTTGGCTGATAGGCACCTTTTTTGGTTGGTCGGCCCTTATGTTGGTCGATCGGCCATATATTTTGGCTGAACCCTGTTCATCTGCTTTTTGCAGATATTTTATGCCAGCTGTCACAACTGGCATGCACTATTCACCCCCTCCACACACGTATATGGAGGGATTTG